CAGACTTTCAGTTTTGCAAAGTTATAAGCTGATATAAAATCATCAGCTCCCTTTAATTTGCAGAATGAAGTGTTCTGTAGTGTATTCCAGTTGTATTTCGCAGTTTGATTTCCATATGGTATAGTTATCTAAAAACCTGTCTTTAAATGTACAGTAAACAAGTATTGCTGTTGGAAATTCAAGAACCCTGAAAGCAAATATATAAAAATATATATAGATACATAGATATATAGATTAATATATATATAGATATATAGGTATCAGTAATGATGGAAGTTGTTGGGGATTTTACACTCATATTTGCCAAACTGTTCATAACTCCACTCCCTTTGACTTCTCTGTCATTGCAATATTTCATTTCCAGCTGATCTTGGGCAAGGCTAAGTGAACCACTACAGAAAACGGAATAATTCTTTTTAAGCTTTTTAAGTTCACAAAAAACAGGTTGAAGTTCTGAATATTAATTCTTATTCTGAAAGTTGAGGGTTTTTTTTGAAACTTAGTAAAGTGACAGAAAAAGCTCCCATATTGAGTTTTTTTCCTCCAGCTTTTTGTTTCAATCAAAATCATATGCATAATACTTATTGAAGCTTATTATGTTATTATATGGTAAATAGTTTCTTATATGGCAGAAAAAAAATTAATTATACATGTACCACATTTTCATATATTTTCACTGGTTTTATTACTAATAAAAATTATATTCACACATTTCTAATTGTAGTGTACCTAAATGAAATGCAATTTGCCCTTTTCTTCTCTACTGTACCTATTTAAAAAAGACAATTTTGAACTTCAAACTATTTTCTGTAACCCCATGTGAGTATATAGGAATTAATTAATGAAAGCACCATTTTCATTTTATGCACAAAAATAATCTATCATTTGCTTTTGTGCTCTACATCAATTCAGAGTCCTAGTTTTATTATTTTAATTATGAAGCATGGTTGTAATAACAATGATTTTTAGTGCTATTCATTACAGGGTTTAGGTTCTGCTATCCTTATTTACACCCTATGTGTTATACAAATTTTTATACTATATGATTTTGGAGAAAGACACATGAGTTTTGAAGAAAAGCATCATTCCTTCAGCAAACCACTTGCATGCAGCCCCTGCAGCTGCTGTTGGAATCAGATATTTATTCCAAGAAAATTTGTAGTTTTCAATCATGGTACTACTCTGAAAACAAGCCTACTTGTCTGCTCTGCAGAGCTTAAATTTAGAGGCCTCTTTAATTTTGAAAGGAGAAGAAATTTTGACCAAAACCTCTCAGTAAGGAAGGTCAATATTTTGAGTGGAAAATGAGATGAAACACTTTTGTTTTATTACTGGCAAGATGAGCTCACATAACTCTCTTCTTGGCAATGTCTGTAAAAGGAAGGATACTGAATTGTCAGTGAGCTGTGACTTGTTCTGTGGCTTTGTAAACAACAGAGATTACAAACTCATGAATACAGTACTAAGGAAAAACAGAAATCCAAGTTGTAGTCAGGCTCTTAAATTACTGTGAGTTTTGTGGGTGGTCCTTTAAGACTTAAGTTTTTTTTTGGTATATACCGGCATATATCTCCATGTGTCTATTTTAGATATATTTATACGTGTGTAAAAATACATCTTCAGTAATCAGTGAGCTGACCCAAAAAATGGCATAAATAATAACAGCACTTTGTTACACACGAACTACTGAAACTTTTATAGTCCCATTTTGACCACACAGTTGAACAATATTGAGAGACTGTGTGCAATCATAAGAAATGTTATTTATTATAACCACAACACAAGTTCATATATGGCATTACTGGTAATTTACTGTGGGTTGCTAAATAGTTGGTAGGCATTTTCAAGGGAAAAAAAAAAAGAATGAGCAGAAAATACTGACTAAATGAAGTTGTACCTTGATTTCAAATCTCAGTTTACACTTAGGATATACTCTAATAGTCTAAACTTGTCATGCAGCCATGGAAGTGCTAAAAGCTTTCAAAAATAAACATATCCAGATGACGGAAGCTACTTTATCCTCAGGGTAATGGATATCTGTTAAGTACAGTAACATATGTGTAATAAAACATATGGAATACGATATTTGCAAAATCATTTACAGGACACTGTACAGGTGTGCAAGGAAGATATAAATACCTCAGTCACGATAGATAAGCTGTTACAGAATCAGGGCCGCAGTTATTACCTCTGCTGTGGGTCTGTAAGTGTAAACACACTGGGGAAGGAGGATATTCACATCAGAACTAATTGTAAGCTTCCCAAAATTGTTCTTAGGGAATTCAGATTTAATTGCTTTCTCGAACTCTTGTATAAGGAGTTGTTCTCACCTTGTTCCCTGTGTATTGTTGCTGTTAACTATTAATGGGAATCCTGCACCTAGAGTGTGGGGAGAGTGCCAGTTCACCTGACTTTGGGCACCCTTTGCTCCTACTGCAAGCATAATTTCTTTGGATGCAGATTCTTGACTTGCTGCTGGATATGTGCTCACTTCTTACTCGCACAAAGTTCTCCTCAAATAATTCTGAGAGATTATAATTGTTCACTCTGCATTGCTATGACCTCACCATCTTTATGTTTGAACTGCTGTTCTTCTGTGTAAAGTGGCTACATAAAAATAGCGCTGCCTAACTCAGCTCTGCTCCCTCTAGGTATTTGGAGCTGCTGACCAATATAAAGGTATTTTTAGTGTTACTCCTTTTAACTCTGCAGAATCTGCACAGGTATGTCAGTGATCTGGGAGAATGTATCTATTCCATAGATGCACTGAAAATGTTTCAGATGTTTTCAGTTAAGTAATTTCCAATTCAACTAAAACCAAAAAAAGTCTTTGGTCAAGAATGTATGATGCATCTAAAGGCCAATGTAATATACTGTACCAGTGTTAAAATTACACTTAGCATCTCTTTCTCTCCACTGCATGATTAATTACAGCTTGATGACTCAAATAATTTTTTATTACTTTTTGGGTTTATTATTGGGTATATTATTCTTTGGGGTGAGATCCTTTTTTCTACTGTCTGTAAATCAAAAGACCCACAAAGGAACCTTCCAAATCTGCCAGTAATCCTGGCTGAATTACAAATGAGAGCCTTTGTCAGTCTTTTGGGCACCCTCTATTTGGAAAGCATTCCTCTCTGAGCAGCTGGACACTCTCCATTTGGCATATCCATTTTGCAGTACTAATTGTACTTTAGGATATTTGGTTATGTCATCAAAGCAAATTGAGAATTCTGTCTTTATTGCACTGAAAAATCAGACCTAGAGATGCTACACTTTGATAGTCATCACCAGAACACTCGGATAATATTAAATAATGTCTGGAGAGAAGCAACTTGTTAAGAGAAGTAAATTGCAATGATCTGACATGCTCAAATTAAGGGAAAATTCAGATGGTTAATTCTAAGTTTTCAGTTGCAAAATCCACGTTTATTCAGATCATCTTAACACTCGCTGACATTGGCAGTACTATAGGGGCATATTTTTCTGTGAGCTATTTTTGAATAACCACTCTAGTGAATTGAGGACATGATTTTTAATAGCAGACTTACTGCTATAGTTGTTATTTCTCTTTTTTCAAAAGAGTCTTTCTAAAAAAAAACAACCACAGATATTGTGGAAAATAGTATATGTAAGATCCAGGACACTCTGTTTTTCTGTCCTTGCTTTGAGAGTAAACAAAATATATTTCAATTTTTCCTCATGTACTGGATCTCTATAGTCATGAAGGCTGCAGGAATTTCAAGTTATCAAATATGGTGGAGGACTGTGAACAAGCTCAGTTAGTAATTTCCTGTAAATTTGAGACTCTATTTCCTCTATAAATATCTATAGTATAATTAAAGGTTTGTTTAGGTTTGGTTTGGTTTGGTGTTTTTTTTTTGTAAAATAATGAAAAAGTATCTTCTTCCTCATGGATCTAGATGAGCATCTTTGTCCTCTGAATTGTAGGTGGATGGTTCACAGAACTACCTCCAAGACATATACTGAAAACCTTGTTGCAATGGAACCCTTAAAAGTGCCTACATATTTCTAGGCATGTTCAGGATATGTGCCAAGAAAAGCTACTGCAAAGGCAATGATTAGACACATATTTACAGACTGGTGTGAATTTTTAATTAATATCTTAGCCCTTCAGTCAGATGTTTTATAGGTTCCTCTCTGGAAATTCTTATTATTCAAGAACAGTGTGTACCTTGAGATTTAGAGGAAGTGCAGAAAAAGTCATACATTTGACATTGCCTTGCAGTCTAATGTTGCTGAAAATAACTCAAGTTTTGACAATCACAGCTGATAGTAGAGTAGAGCAGAAAAAAATATATATAGTATAAAAAGAAAGAAAACTAGAAAAGCTAGAATAAATAGAATCAAGCTTCGAGAGAAGATGAAGAGTGAAAAAATGTGAAAGAGATAAATTTAGAAACCTGACAGGCCATCAACACAACAGTATGGGAAGGAAGAGTGAAAAATGACACTTCAAAGATATGACCGCAACAGCCATAATAAAATGCACAAATGGGCATTCTTCCCATACAGTCTCCTCCTTCCTGTATACCTATATGTCAGGACCATGCAATTATTGCAGTCAAAAAAAAACCAACCAACCAACCAACCAAACAAAAAAACCCAACAAATAAGAAAGGCCAGTTAAACTAAAGCCAATTCAAGAATATTATATATCGCTCTCAAATAGAGAATTACACTGTGTAGCAATTTCATCTGAGTGAGTGAGAGTCAAAAGGGAAAAAATGAAATGAGAAGGAAATGAAGCTAAGTAATCGGAGGAAAAAGAGATGTCATGAATTGGAAATGAGTTTTGCTTTGAGGTGCTGACTCAGATGCATAGCTCTCTATAAAAGCTACAGTAAGAATAAAAATAGACCAGAATTTTAGTTATGAATAATAATAAAAGAGACTTTTATTTGCTTCATGTGCTTCAGAAATATCCAATTCTTCTGCTTATGAATAAGAAAATAGAAAAGCTGTGCTATCTTTCTTTCAGACTTTGAGCTTGGCCTCAAATCTGAAACCTGTAAATAGAAAATAAAACATATAATACCAAACATGCTTATTTCATCTTTATTTACAAAAAGAAAGGAAATTTAGATGGAGAAAAGGAGATCACCTCTATGCATTTTTTATAGAGATGATCAAATAGATAAGAACCAGACCCTTTTTTCATACTCCATTTAATAAATTTCTCAAAAAGAAGCAGTTCACAAGGATAGCAAAGAAAATAATAAAATGTAATGTTAAGGGAAACAGTTGGGCATGAATGCTTAATACCTTTTACTATTGTCTTCACCATATCAGGATTTTCAATATTTCTTTTAAATCTGAACTACATTTTTGGACTTTGGATCCTTTTTTTCTGATTTCCAAATCTTCTCTTCTGAAGGTCATTATTATTTTTTCACTGTGTGATATTGTGTCTCCAGATTTTTTCCAATTATTGTTCAAAATTCCTTTTAGTATTTTTCATCTACCATGTTTTATCTCTGCCACTTTTACAATCCTCATCATAGGGCGGATTGCACTAGGGATGTCAGGACAGATTCACCTGCACAAGGTTGTATTAGCAGGGCTCACAGTTGATGGCACACATGGGTTGTTAATGCAGAAAGTTATAAAAGCAGGGGAGAGAGCTAGAGATGGAGGGGAAAAAGAAGCAGAAGAAGGAAGGAAGGAAGGAAGGAAGGAAGGAAGGAAGGAAGGAAGGAAGGAAGGAAGGAAGGAAGGAAGGAAGGCTGGCTTTCTAGTATCCAATCAGAAAGAGCAGCAATGAGGTCCTCTGGCACAGCAGAGATGAGCAGTCTGATCTGAGGGTCCTCTTCTAACAAACAGGTGATGATGGCTAAGGAAGCAGGGTACCTATGGACCTGTGCAACAGTCCCCTGTCACTCTTACAAAAATATCTAAGCCACTTCTCGTCAGGGGCTTTGGTCTTCCTCAGAGCTGCTCACCCATAGTGAATTGCTCCAAAAGAGATAATTATTCTTTGCTGTGGTTACCAGGAAGTCTTGACTTCAAGAGGCAGCAAAACTCTGTTACAATCCTACTGCTGAAGATGACTAATGTCTGGTAGAGTGGGGTATCTTCCAGATATTGTCTTTCCTTATTTTCTGATGCTTTTAGTTTCAAAGTTGCCATCAGCTCCCATTGCATATTTTCCTTGTACCAGAGATTACAGAATAAGGTCCACTGTAGCAACATATCCCTCCTGTGCTAGATGCAGCATGTGCACAAATGCAGAAAATTTCCTTGACTTGCATAGAATTATAATAATATATTATAATTATAATTTGGCATTAGTCAAACTGCCAAAAAATACACATCTTGGGAGTTTACTTAAAATGTGTTCTTCAAACACCACTTCAGAACTTCTCTACATATAGTTTCATAATAATCTCTTCCTTTGAAACAGTCAGTGTTAGATGTGATTATGAGGACTTATTCTTCCTGACAATTATTTAAAATATCATATAAGAGGGGTGGGGGGATGAAAAACAAAAAGAAAAATAGAGTACTAATTGTTTAGACTAAGAAGCATTTTTAGTGTTATCAAGTATTTTTGTACTATCTGATAAGTGGAAATAACTTCTTTGGCTGATGCCTTTCCAGTATATGTGTTTTATTAAAGATATCCAGTATAGCTGGATATTACAGTGTCAACAAATCAATCCCTCAGTGAGAAATACAGCACAGAGACAAAATTTTATTGTCCCAAATAAGAGTGACAGAGCATTCTAAAATGTGAAAACAGCTTATAAGCATTTGACATAAAATCTAGTTACACAAAGCCTCCCTTCCCCAAAAAATGAGGTGCTGGAACCCTTCAAAGTCACAGTTCTATTTTTGGCTGACTCAGAGCAGGGATTTGAATTAATTTCTCTTGCCCAGAAGAACACCTGAAAAAGCAGGCCATGAAGTCATTTTATACTCTTGTTCCATGAATATTTAAATAGGCTGTGCAGAATATCGTGACTCTGTCAGAAAAGACTGAGGGAGAGTTGCCTCTACCAAAATATTTGAGACTGCTTTATGTGCTGTGAATGGTCAGATCCCTACATCAAGACAGGTCTTGACCTTGTGCATTTCATAACTTTATATGAATCCCCTGAGAACCAGGTTATTAGACAAAATGAAAAATTAGGCTACATTTTTCTTATCTGAAATTTTGCTTCTTTTGCCTTGTATCTTGAATAAGCCAAAATAAAATATTCTGTTTCAGACTGAACAAAATATTTGCATGAACCCCAAGGGACTAGGTTTTATTTTCAGCAAAAGGTAAAAAGAATTATACCTACTAGAATGAAAAAAATGACCCAAAATGAAATATTTATATTTCAATCCAGCTTTCAGATAAAAGCATACATTTCTTGAAAAGCTCTAATACATAGGTGTGATTTGAAGAGCTGCTGAATATCTCCTCTCTAATTGACTTTAACCCAAGTGCCTTGCTAAAAGCTAAAACACTCTGTAGCTCTGAGAATCACCTCTGGAACACTAAAAAGCTGGAGGTACAAATGTCAGCAGGTTTAAGTAAACAAAGAATTATGCTGATTTATAATAAAAGAAGCTCAGCATAGTGCTTGTTGCCATGCTCAAAAAAGTATTCCAAGGTTTTGTTACTTCTTGTTTTAATTTTATACATTAAATGAAGAAGATTAATAATTCCCAAGTGAACCCATGGCTGGTACTATATAGTAAAAGTAAAAAAGAAAAAGAGACTATGGCTTTTGCATTTCTAAAATAATGACTCAATATTGATTCCACAGGCATCTGAGATATGTGCTTTGTACAGAAAAAATAGCTGTAGCTGTAACAGAGGAAGTTGAATGGTAAAACAAATATATCTGTAAGATAAATTATACCTTCAGTTATACCGAAGTCAAAGTTTGATCCTATTGCTTTTATTCTATAATTGCACAGAAATAGAAAATAAATTATTGTGAGGTATCAGTGAAGTTTATTGCATATGGCTATGTCTGCTTAGGGGGACAAAAGTATCTACCCAAGCATAGCCTAGTGGATACCCTAAATTCAAAGCAATGTATAGATTACACTGAAGAATATGTTAAAAATTATCAACTAATTGTGGATAAATTAATAAATAATTGGGAAAATTAATAATACTGACACAAGAGTAGATTGCAAAGATGATAAGGGAGCAGGGATAACTGCTGGCCATGATTTTAAAATTTAGTCTATATGAAGTAGTTCTTTTAGCTTTTATGCAGGCTTATATACTTTACTGCTAGGACATGCATGTCTCTCCATATGATACTTTGGCTACCCATTGTATACAAAGGAAGAGTTATCTACTTACTTTTAAATATGAAGAAGAGACTGAAGAGAGGATAATGCTTAGGATCTAGTCTTGAAAGTACTAATCTGTTTATCTAGTGAAAATTTGCTCATCTGTGGAGAGCCCTGGGAGGTGCAGATACTGCTGAGAAAGATTTTGGGATTCAGGGACGCAAGAGAATTGATGCTAATGAAGAAGACAGTTTGAATGCCTAGCTGCTGCATAAAAGCAAAGCATAACTGCTTAAATGTCCCAGGTTAAAGCCTTGTCTTATAAACTGTGTTGGACAAATATGAGACAGACTTTGCATGTGATGTGATGTTAACATCTCCAGAAAAAAAAAAAAGTCTGAATAATTGAATATAAAAGATCAGAAGAGAGCTACTTTAAAGCACTCATGACTTTGTTGATGACTTTGAAATGCAATCTGTTAGGTCATAAAGTTGCATAAATAATTCTAATCAAATAGAGTTTGTGTATCTCTTCCTTGATTTTTCTTAATTAACAAAGGAAAATTGAATGTGGATTAAAAAAAAAACCCACAGACTGTCTCAGCTCTTTCCTTTGTCCTAAAAAGGCAATCAAGATAGATGGAGAAAATAAAGATGCCCTCAGTTTCTTTGCTTTCCCAATAATACTTCCTTTATTGTACCTTATTTGGTTCCAAATGTTTGAATATGGATATTATTTCTGGTGACCTGTGCTATAGTTTTGATTCTTTTTGCCCTGTTACTTATCTTATTATTGTTATTTCTATTTTTCCCCTTCCCCTTACCTTTTTACTCAAAATCTATTTGTTGGCATTCCTGAATACAAGAGCTATTTGTTTGATAGCTGCAGTTTTCAATAGTGGTACCAGATAATATTATGAAAATCTCTCTCCAGCAGTGTAGCATTACAGATGAGAGGTATTACCTGAGGCATTACTGGTCCTCAGACTCACTTGCTGTGAAACACTCTAAGAAAAGATGGCCTGAATCCTGAGACAATCATATGACATTTTGGGTGGAGAGAGCACTGGGAAGGCTACATAGCTCCATTCTACTGCTTCAAAGCTAGGAATAAAATACGTAGTTCCTGTCAGATGTCCCCTGAGGTGCTCATTTCCATGCAAAGGCAAGGATGAAAATGATGTGCAGCTATTCTAGAAAAATAAAAGATTATGTTCTTGATTGCAAAATATTAGACCTAGTTTGAAAAAGACCTCAAGCTAAACTTAAAATAAACTCCACAATCTTGGATAGTGTTCCTGTGGGTGATCATATGAATGCCCTATAAGCTATGTCCCATCATCTTTTTTAAGTGTAGGTAACCCTTAGTGGGTTAATTTAAATTCTATTTCTTTGTCAATAATTAATATATTTTTAGCTATCTCTTATGCCTTCTGTTGCCCACATACGTACAACAGAAGCATCATTTTACCTGGGGAGTCTTCTAACAGCTCATCTGCTTTTATTAGAGCTGCACCCTCTTGGGGTTTTCTTTCTTCTGGACCAAGGTGCAAATGGAATATCTCCTGGTTTCCCTCATGTTTCTCATCACACCTTTTATTGCCATCTGTCTCCCTCTCTCCCTCTTATTTTAGGAACTTCATTTTAGTTTTTCATCCAAGACTGATTGTCATAATTTTTCATTTCTCCTTTCTCTTCAAGTAGCTGGATTACAGGCAGGCAGGAAGGAAGGAAATAAATCAAATCAATCTCTGGACTTTCCATTCCTGTG